CTCTTGTTTTACCTGAAGTAAAACTTCCGTGCCTGCTCCCAAACAAGGACACTTTTTCCCTCACCCTTTCTCCAAATACTCATTAAAAATAACAGTTACTCCTAATGCCTAGGTGTACCAGTAGACACCTCCATGTTTTGTGTGCTGCACACATATTCATGCACATAGAATAGAGCACATCAGGGCGCAATCTCAGATACTTCCCCGACATAAGCACACACATAGGGGATTGGCTTATTGGGTTTGAAAGCTTAGGACCACAGTCTCTTCGAAACAACTTGGTCGATTGGCATAAAAGTTATGCTCTGCATTCCAGTTTGGTTAAGTCGTGTCTGGAGTTTAAAAAACTGTGGGCAGACATCTAAGGTGCCACAATTGGCGTCTATTGTATGGAACAGAAGAGAAAGAAAGTAACCAAAGAGGCAAAGAGGACACCAGCCTCAAAGCCTAAGTTTACACATTCCACAGTCTCAGACCAGAACTGGATGGTGATCTGGCCCTGGCCACTGACCAGTCTCACCATGGCCATGTTGCAGAGAGAAGGAGAGAACATTGTAGAATAAAACTAAACTTCTTAAAAATTAAAAAAAAAATCAGACTTACTAGACCAATAAATATTCCATAGAGTAAGCCCCCAGGCTGCAGATAGCCATCAGTTGAACTGAATCCACTCCTGGAGATCATCTTTCAGTTAAATAGCAGATCATCTCATAAAATAAGTGTTATCTCCCGTGAGGACTGTGCTCCTTTGACAAACGAAGAGCAAAAATCTGTATGACAACCAATGCTCAAAATTTGTCCTAAAGTAAAGAGAAGGAGAATCAAGGGGGGACAGGAAGCTAGATGAATGAAAACACAACTACCAGAATGGAAACATGAGAATGTTGACAGAATGTAGAACCAACATCACTGAATTGTATACATATATTCGGTGGGGGGGTGGGGCACCCTCGAAAACCAAACTCATTGTAAAATAAAATCTGACTCCGTGACCCCATGGAACAGGTTAGAATTGCTCCTGGGGGGTTCCCAAGCCCCAAGTGTTTATAGGCGTAGAAATCTCATCTTTCTCCCTGGAGAGACTGGCGGTTTCAAACTGCTGACCTTGCAGTTAGGAACCCAATGCTTACCACTCTACCACCAAGGCTTCCAAGAGTATGCCTGTTGTTAGGTGCCTTCCAGTGGGATCCAACTCACAGTGCCGCTGCATACGAGAGAAGGAAGCATGGCCAGGTCCTGATCTAAATGAAAATTGACCTTCTTTTGGAGTCCATCAATGCAGCCGCTGGGTCAAGCCATCTTGTCAAAGGTTTTCTTCTGCTCATACAAACTGTTCAATGGGAACCACAGATACTATGTAAACGCCTGCCCCAAACAATACATTTTAAAATGATTGCTTTCGGAGTTTTCTTTAAGGTATGTCCGCTCATTCTAGGGTTTGGAAATCCAAAAATTTTTATGCTAACTGAAGTTACTTGATCAAACAAGGAAAACAACTGGATGAGTCCATTACTGAAGATAAACAAGATGAAAGCAGGCTTCTACTCTCAGGCCATGTAATCTTCTAATCTAGTCTCTCAAGCATTGAACTGGAGAGCCTGCCGAAGGGCCATGAACCGTACATCACATTCTCTATATGTACAGGCTAAAAACCATTTCAACAGAGGAGACACCTCACACCTCAGGTGGGGTCATTTTCTCAAGATAGAGAAAGAGGGAGAAGACCATTCAATGGGTGCTATACAACATTGTTCTAAGGTCACCCCAAATCAAGATACACTCTAGTAGGGAATCTTAATGGAAATTCAAGTCAAATTGGGGGGTAGGGGATGTGCATTTCTGAGAAGGTGAATATACTTCTGTTGTTGGTTAAATTGGGTGAAACAACCTCTCATTTGGGGAAAACTGTTTAATACTTACATAGAATCCAAGGGGAGGATATGCCAGGGACTATGTTTCTAATTGGACACTTTGATCCTAGTGTTTATCAACCCGTGTGCTATAGACAACTGAGACTAGAGTCTTTCCTTCATAGGCTACACCAGAAGGATGAGATGTGGAAACTCCACTAAGTGATTTGGGCTTTACCTCAAGTTCACCTGTAGCAGATTTAAAGAAGTGATACCTTCCCTTGAATAGCATCTGGGATGTGAAAAGCTTTAATTAAGGTTGAAACAGCCTAGAGCAGGGATTCTCAAACTACGGCCCACGGGCCACACATGGCCCGCCGAGGACAGTTATCTGGCCCACCGGGGTTTTTTTGCCCCATTTTGTTTTTACTTCAAAATAAGATATGTGCAGTGTGCATAGGAATTTGTTCATGTTTTTTGTTTTTTTTAAATCAATTTATTGGGGCTCATACAATTCATCACAACACATAGATCAATCGTGTAAAGCACATCTATACATTTGTTGCCCTCATTATTCCCAAAATTTGCTTGCCTCTTGGGTTCCCGGAATCAGCTCATTTTCCTTTTTTCCCCTTCTCCTCCCTTCCTCCTCCCCTCTCCCCCATGCACCCTTGATAATTTATAAATTATTATTGTATCTTATATTACACTGTCCGGCGTCTCCCTTCACCCACCCCTCTGCTGCCCGTCTCCCAGAGAGGAGGTTATATGTAGCTCCCTGTGATCAATTCCCCCCTTCAACACCCCCTTTCCCTCCTGGTATCGCCACTGTCACCCCTGGTCCTGAGAGGTTCATCTGTCCTAGATTCCCTGCGTTTCCAATTCCCATCTGTACCGCTGTGCATCATCTGGTCTAACCAGGTCTGCAAGGCAAAACTGGGGTCCTGGTAGTTGGGCGGAGGAAGCGTTTAAGAACTAGAAGAAGGTTGTGGGTTTCATTATTGCTATACTGTACCCTAAGTGACTCATCTCCCCACTACCCCTCTGCAAGGTATGTCCAGTTGTCTAGAGATGGGCATTGGGTCTTTCCCGGCTATCGAGACCTGTAGCGTCTGGGGACTTAAAGGCTTGAAAGTAAACAAGCGGCCATCTAGCCCAGAAGCAACAAAGCCCACATGGAAGCAGCACACCAACATGTCTGATCATAAAGGGCCAAAGGGACCAGGCTTTAAACATCAAAGGTGGGTGGGTGGGGATCATATCTATGTTTTTTTAAAAACTATAGTGCAGCCCTTCAACAGGTCTGAGGGACAGTGAACTGGCCCCCTGTTTAAGAAGTTTGAGGACCCCTGGCCTAGAGTGAGAAGCAAATGATTGATATCCCAAGGTTATGGAATTGGTGGTTGTTGGACTGTGGTTTGCATCTCCTCTTTTGAGGGTGCCCAATGAATGATGGCCCAGGACCACCATATATTTACTACCATCTTTTCTTTCTTATGCCATGTATTATTAGCCTGGTAGGCATGTTTCTTCACTTGTGAATGAGTGGTACTGAAAGTTTTGTCCTATTTCCAACCCCTGTATTTTAAGTAAATAGTGTGTAGTCATTGAAAAGTTTAATTTGGGCAAATCAAGAATTCATGTGTTTCAGTCTGAAGTTAGCCTATACTTTATATTATTTCCTTTATCAAAAGTGTCTTAAATTCTATGCCATTGGTTATATCAATGACACTATCAATAGAATTAACATACCCCATGATTTATGTTTATAACTTATGATTTTATATATTCTTATTTACAATGTTTTAAATCATAAAATGATAGTATCTTTAAAGTGAACCAGAGACATCTATAAATCATACATATATGATTTGTGGTACACACTTAATTCTAGTCCCAATCCAAGAACAATTAGCTCATGACATGCCTCTACTTGATACTTGCCCTCATGAAAAGATCATTGACGATATGGGTGCTATAGCAAACTGTGGTGATGAAACCAGATGGTGCCCATTTATGAGAAAGAATAGCATCTGGGATGTGGAAAGCTTGCTTTCAAGCAGCCATCTAAGTGAGGCATCAACTAAACCCACATTGAAGAAGCACACCAGTCCATTTGATCCAATGATTGTAAATAATAAAATACAAAGGAGAGAATAGTATCAGAGCTTAAATTGTGAACACCCAGTTTGCAGAAGGCTATGAATAACAGGAGAACCCCCAAATCCATTTGCAGGGTTCCCACAGGGATTAAGTACCTGGTGAATCCCCTCTGCACATAGTCCAACAATGTGAGTCGCCTTGCTGTCAGAGATGATTGTCAAGTAGATCATGGCAGACGTAGGTTGGTCTGTAATAGCTTACACCATTTGATCTCCCTTTTGATTCGTTTTATTTTTCATTTTTAACAGTTTTATTGGCACCTCATCCACACAGCATACAATTCATTAGTTCAATCATATCAAGAAAAGTTGTACAATCTTTACCGCCATCATTTTTAGACTAATTTCTTCTATCTTGTATTGTTATTCATGCATTTAAAATTTGGGGGAAATGTACACAAGAAAACACTCTAGATTTCAACAAGTTCTATGTATGGAATTCAGAAACTGGTTATGTTCTTCTTGTTGCACAACCACCACTGATCTCCTTTTCCAAATGATCCCACCGTTAACAGTAACTCAAGGCCCCCACGCAGAAACTTGTCCTCCTTCACCCATGACAGCTATAGCTTCATGGTTTGGCTTCTTCTTTTTAATGCAGTTTCTGGGTACAATATTTGGATATCATACACTTCCATGGTTAAATTGTTGGTAAAAAGAGTAGTATATCCATTATAATCCATTCTAGTGCCCTCCCCGCTCTTCCATATTCATTGTTTGCTCCCCAATTCCCCTCCCCCTCCCCATTCCCTGTCCCCTGTCAATCATGCATCAGTTATTGTCTCTGTGCACTCTCCTGCAATCTACTCACTCCTTCTGTACTTCATAAACTGGGAAACCTAACAGAAGCGGTAGAAAACAACAAATGAAACAGAAAGAATAATAATAATAATAATATAGAGATAAAAATAGGTATAAGGAAGAAGAAAGGAGAGGCGTGTGTGCCTTTTCTGCCCAGGGCTTGAAAGGTGATGTGACTGGGCTTCAGGGGCCACCCTGGGTCTGCCAATTTCAATGTTCACAGTCTGCTGACTGTAATCTGGCTGCTCCTATATACCTGCACTTATATTCGATCCTTAACTCTCAGTGTCCTGGACAGAAACAAAACTGAACTATTGGGTATATTTGGGAAGTGTGCCACAACTGGTGAACAGAAAAGTCCTCATGTCGCTGTATGTTGTAGAGTGATGGCATTCAGCCTCCTGTTCACACAGTAGCTTGGAAAAATGCCAGAAACTAATTGCCGTCAGATTTCAATATGAAAAAAACACTTACCTACAGAAAACAATGGAAAGAATAGTTAACCTTTTCATCTCTGAACATTGAGTGAGAGATCTTCCCAGTGCTGCTCTCCATTTCCATGGTATTGGACCGATGTTCTAGATAAATAAGATGTAACCATTGTGTACTCAAAGAGTTTAATCGACCTCAGTATTGTCACTACAATAGTACCTTCTGCAAGTGTCATTCTGTTCTGTTCTATGCCAATTTTTGGTGAGATATCAATCTCTAAAGCAAAGAGTAAACAACAAGGGGCATACCATATATACTTGAGTATAAGCCAACCTGAATATCAGCCAAGGCACCTAATTTAACCACAAAAACTGCATTAACAAGGTGCTGAAAAACTCTGTTTATACCCAAGTATATAGAATAAATGAGGTGTGACTTCACAGTATTAAGAGAATGCTCTTGTTTAAAAGGAATTTAGACTAACTGACTGGTATACGAGCCTCTGAAATTTCTGGTTGAGTATAGATAAATATCTCAAGTATAAATTTGACTAGCTCATGATCTGTCTCAGAAAAAAACTATTCTTAGAATAAAAAATAATTATAAAATAATGATCCTATATGTGTTTTTCCTTCTTTTTAGTTTGATCTTTCAAAAATGAAAGAATTTTAATTGTCCCAAGATACAATCTGTGTTTTAAAGACAGCACTTTAAATCCAGCTTACATTCTATCAGTCTGCTTGAACTGGACTCTCATGGTAATTTACTTCTGTATGGAGTAGGTGCTGATAAAGACTTTTCACATATATGTATCCATAAAACTTGGGGTGGGGGGAGGGGGAGAAAGAGCAGGCCATCAACAATATTAAAAACCCAGACAAGACATGTCTGTCACGGGACAAGTGAGAAAGACTTGAGCCGAGGGCACATTCAGGCTGGGTCCATGGCCCGTGTGAAAGCGAATCAAAAGTGTTTAGTGTTTTCTCTTTCTCTTCACTAGAAAAACTTTAAGGCTCTGTCTAGGCATTGCTGCTGTTGTTGTCTGTTTGCTTCCTGTTCGTGTTTTATATTATTTTCTGTATATGAAATCAAGAATTAGGACAGCCAATAACAGAGAGGACCACATGGCCAGCCCCACTATGGGACATGATGGCCCTCACTGACCCTTGGCCCTGCGGGGGACAATACCAGAGACACAGTGTGGGAATTGCACCCCATCTGATCCCACCACACTGAGGCCAAGCACTGGGGGAGTGCAGCGGAACAGAAGGGAATGAAGCAGCAAGGTTCCCAGTGAATGCTAAAGGTGGACTTTGGGGCCAGGGCGTGGTGCCCCAACAGACTGGACTAGAAAACACTCCTAAAGGCCAGTGATCCTTGAACTAACTACAAGCTTTTCTTTCTTGGTGTGTTTTTATTTGTTCTTTCTCAGTGGTTTGTTGTTG